TTTACTTGGCTGTCCTATGACAAACTCAACACAGACAAACCAGGACGTGTCTTCTCTGCCTTCCAGCCAACAACTGCTCCTTAATGGTACCAGTGGGGAACAAATTGACCATCCAATGGCCGACGCAGAAGGGAAAGTCCCATTGATGACATCTTCCCCACCCACTGTCCCCTGATCCTGCTCCTTTGACCTCCCAAGCGCTCTGACTCTGGCCAATCGCTGACCATTCAAAGGCCCATGTCTGTGGGCAAAATTTTCACCAACTATAATGGGCTCATAGGAAATCTTCCTGTCTTCTGCCTACCAATATCCTACCAATCTTTCTTCCATTCTGTCATCAGAGACCCCTTCTAAATCACAGAACTGAACAAGCCATTCTGCTGCATGAGAACTGCCTATGGCTCCCAATTTTCAGTAGGTAAAGTTGAAACTCCTTAGTGGTTTTTTTTTTTTTTTTTGAGACGGAGTTTCACTCTTGTTACCCAGGCTGGAGTGCAATGGCGCGATCTCGGCTCACCGCAACCTCCACCTCCTGGGTTCAGGCAATTCTCCTGCCTCAGCCTCCTGAGTCGCTGGGATTACAGGCACGCGCCACCATGCCCAGCTAATGTTTTGTATTTTTAATAGAGACGGGGTTTCACCATGCTGACCAGGATGGTCTCGATCTCTTGACCTCGTGATCCACCCGCCTCGGCCTCCCAAAGTGCTGGGATTACAGGCTTGAGCCACCGCGCCCGGCCACTCCTTAGTGTTAAAAGGTTTCATCCCCATCTTTCTCTTCTTCTCTACCCACTTTTAATGAACCAGATTAATGTCACTTCCTTAGTGAAATGGCCTCCAAAGAATTAAAATCAGTCACAATTAAAATATCACAAAGGCATTTTGTTTATATCTCTTATTATAGTGATTATATTAAAATGTATTTTTAAAATGTCTTTAAGATGTTCTGTGGCTTTCCAGTGGAATTTATATGCTGAAGAATATATTTTAGTCAGCCTATCTTCCCATCACCTAACAGTGTCTGCACACAGGAGGTGCTTAATAAATGTTTGTTGAGTGAATAGATGAAGTAATGAATTTTACATGGCATCACCTAAGACAATGCAGTGCTAGATGGATACTTTTATTAAAAACCTAGTATATGTCAAGATGCTATGTGAGGCTCTATGAGGGGATGAAAGGGATAGATAGCATTCCCTACTCACAAAAGCTTTTATAATCTCTATAAGAAATAGTATAGATTATCATAGAAGAAATAATATGTTATAATACTTTTAATCTGAAGATATTAATGGATTGAATTACCTTAGTAGATATACTAATGCTGAACTATCCTTGCATTCCTCAGTTAAGTATAATTCGGTCAGAAAGTATTTTTAATATATGTACCGGATAGGGTTTGTAAAATTTTACTTAGGATTTTTGTCTATAACTGAAACTACTCTGCAGGATGCGTTTTGCGCATGCTCATTTTCTCATTTTACTAGCTCCTCCCACCCCTCCCCTTTCTTTTTTCCTCGGGAACTCTCTGTCTCTCATACGTTAGATAAAATTCACCAGCTAAGTCATTTGAGTCTGATGATCTTTTTGTGAGTAAATATTAAAAATTACTCTTAAAAATTTAATTTCTTTCTATAGTTATATTTAAATTTTCCTCTTTCACCTTGAACCAGTGTTAACAATTTTACATTTCCAAGAAAATGGTTACCATTGTCCATAACATTCTTGTGATTTAATAAAATCTCTGAATGACAATACTTAGATCCCTCTTTGCATTCTTAACATTATTTACTTGAGAATTCTTTCTTTCTCGATTAATTTTATAAAAGCATTGTCCATTTTGTGAATATTCTCAAAGCACCAGCTTTTGGTTTAATTCATCTTCTCTCTTAGTTTTTTGTTTGCTTGTTTGGTCTTTCTTTTCATTAATATCTGCTCAGTTGAAAAATCTTCATTTCTGAGAGCAGTTTATTTAAGTCTCCCACTCTGTGAATGTGTCCAGACATTTTCAGTGACTTGCTTTATGAATTATCAACTTTACATCTAGAGACTTTTCTTCTGAGGAAGAATTGCAAAATGCTATGTCAGTATTGGAAGCTTTTTTGCTCAACTTGCTAGGAACCAAACAAAGCTTTAACCCACAATGCCTAATCTTGAAAGCTTTTTTGTTTTGTTTTGGATTTTAAGAAATCCTTTAATTAGGAGCTAGGCTAAAGCTTAGATCTAGATGAATCTATAATTAGATTTAAAAGTTATAGCTGGATTCTGTCATTTATTGCTTTATATATTTTGAGACAATTTTGCTGGTATATACAGTTTCAAAATTATTTTACCATCCTTTTAAATTGCCCTTTTTTTTTTTTTTTGCCTTGAAGTCTAGCTTCTCTGATGATACTGGTACAGCAGGTTTTTTGTTTTTTTTGGATTAAGATTTGTCTACTACGCCTTTTTCCATTCCTTTCCTTTGTTTTCACATTATTATATATTTTGGGTGTGAATCTTGTAAAAATGATGTAGCTGGATTTTATTTTAAATTCTAAGCAGATTATCTGTTTTTATTTTCATAAAGAGATTCCATCTACTTACATATAAAGAGATTAATATGTTGACTCATTTTTATCTTATTATATTGTGTTTTCCTATTCTTTAAATAGTTACACTTAAAATTGCAGGACACACTCTTATCAAAATCTAAAGTTAATCAGCATGTCTATTATTCTCTAGTACAATACAAATTCTTAAAAAATTTTAAATCTATTAGCTCGTTTTGTTTTAAACCACTCAAATTTGGTCACTTGTAACAGTTACTTTAAGAAGCTTATTTAAATTTATTCACATGAATTATTTTGCTTACTAGTGCCTTTGACTTCCTGTCCTTGCTGCTGGTAATCAGTTTCCTTCCTACTGAGCTATTCTTTGTTAATTACCCTTTGGTAGATACCTTTGTTAGAATCTGAGGGTAGTAAATTCTCTCATCTTTGTATGAAAATATCTATTTCACTTTTATTCTTATAAAATAATGAATCTAGGACTGAGACTAACAATAATTTCCCCTTAGCTCTCAAGTTTCATAATTGCAAAGTTACTAATGAAGAGTTTGTTGTTGGTTTGGTTGTCATTGTTTTGTACAAATCTCTCTTTTGCCACAAGTGCTTTTAAGAGTTCATCTTTGGTGTTCTGCAATTTCATCATAATCTGCCCTGGAGTGTGTTGTATTTAGTTATTCTTCCTGCTTGACTTGGTGGATTTTCTTCAAGGCTCAGGTCTTTCCTCAATTCAGGGACAGGCTCGTCACACTCTGTTTAAACACTGCTTGCATCCTGTGTGTGTGTTTAAATTTTATGTATTTTCATTGTGGAATTTCTATTAGACCCACTCTGTTCTCTCTAAATTTCTTTTCTCTGATTTTTCTTTTATCTCGAGGTCTTAATTCTTGTTTCTCTTGTCTGCTTGATACTTGAATACAATGGCTTTTTGCATTATGTGGCTTGTAATTTTAATTTGGGGCTCATCTTTAACATTTTCATCCCTTTTTCTTCCACGTGGGCATCTCCTGTTATTTGGGTTATAGAACTATTCCTACAGAACAGTTTTGGGTTGGGCTTCTGCCTGGGCCCATGGGAGTTTCACTGATGTGGGACCGGCTTTGAGGTTAATATCTTGACTGGGATTTCCATCCCCATGCTGGTATTAAAAATTTGGACACAGGCCCAGACTATTCCCAACATCCACACATGAGACTAAGTGGGGTTTCAATGCCTTCATTTTTTATGAAATCTTTTTCCAATCCAGGACACCTGGCAGACAATTCTTCCCTCCAGCCCCCATCTCTGGATTGGAAGAGGGCTTTCTGTCTCTTTTTCACAGAGAAAAGCAGCTCTCCTGGGAATCTGGCTTTTGTGGGATTCTCCGCTTCAGGCAGTTACTTCTCTTTTCCCAAACCCAAGCACCAGGCCCTCTTTCTGGGTCTTGAATAGCCCTGTGGGTCTTTGGAGAGCCATTTGGTGAGCCCCAACTCACCCGCCAGTGCTCAGGGGTAACATCCCCTCTTTGTTTCTGCTTCTTGGGAATTTCACTCTCTCTCTTTTGAGCTTGCCCAGGCATTAGCAACAATTCTTAAATGTTTATATTTTATCCAGGATTTCCGTGTGTTTTCTTTGGGCTGGGAGAGCTACAGCAGCTCATTCCACCAAGTCCCTGGAAGGCTGCAGGTAACAGCTTGTAAGTGCCAAATGTCCAACAAGTGATAAAGAAAAGTGTTGGCGTCATGCAGGGAAGGGAGGAATCACTGCAGACAATAATGCCTACTTGACAAGCTTCAACGATAAGGACAAAGCCTGCCTGTAGCTCATCCTTTTTAAAATAAATACCCACTGCTTTTTAAAACAAGTAACCTTCCTCCTTCCCAGAGGGCATTCACACATGGGACAGATCACAACGAGTGCACAGCAAACATTTGTTAAAGCAACAAATAAAGTGAGCATTTTGTCCAGGACACAGCTAAAAGTTCAGATACCAGAAACGTGGCCTGAAAGGTGATCAATGTCATGTTACAGTAACTCCCATGATATAGAATCGTTTCCATATTGTGGATATATTCAGAGTGGGCTAAGCAGAATCAGTTTTCTTTTAAAGTTCTTTAAGGTACCTCAGAGTTTAATATGGCAAAGTTCAGTCCAGGCATGGCTGCCTTCCAAGCCACCTCTAACTGGCTGGGTTTTCTAAAAAGGATTTGCTGAAATGAGCATCCATAGTCCCTGGAAGGTGGTTTCAAGGTCAGCCCTGCCATAAAGTCATTCTGCAAGGGCTGTTGGTGCACACACCTGGTCAAGGCTGGTGTTTTTGGAGTTACAGTGGAATGCCTACCACTAAGGGGGACACAGGCGCGTCTTGGGGTCTATGTTAAGAATCTGGGCATGTGATGTTGCTCCAAATAAAATGGCTACAAAGTTTAAGCACAGATCCAGTGGTGCAAGATTATGGTGATGTGCCAGAATTACCGTGTAATTTCGAGTGAGGGAGACATCAGTACCATCTTGCAGATAGTGGGTTTCCGTGAAGCTGCTGGCAATCAGGCCTCTGTGGAAAAATAAAAACAACATAAAAAGATGAGTACAGAATTGCACTGTGTTGGGAATGTCTAGGCTTTCGGGTAGCAACACTGTGATCTCTTTTTTTTTTTTTTTTTTTTTTTTTTTTTCAGATAATCCAAGGAGGCTCCGATTAGGACCTTCCCAGTTTAAGTTAGGTTCTCCAGGGAGAATTCAGAGGAGACTCAGATAACAGAGTCAGGTGTGCGTTCTTGGAACAACCGCCCACACAGTCAGTGCAGAGCCCGCCCTCTGTCCCTCCCTCCCACCTCATTCCTTCATGCGTACACCTGGGCGGACACACTTGCACATGCACATGTGCGTACACACACACATACTCTTCCATGAATAGTACAGGCAGATTTCTAATTTGGGCAAATCTCCCACCTGGAAGTCACAGGCCCTGCCAGCTGGAATCAATGGCTGAGCCACCTGCTGGGAAAATCATTCTGATCCATGGCAGTGCCCCTCCCGCTCCCCGGCAGGTGAGAGAACCAGCTAACAATATTGAAATGTCACAGAAGAGATTAGAACAGCAATGAAATGTTAAAAGCAGCGATGTATGTATGAAGTGAGGAAAAATAATTTTGCACACCCTGAACTATTGAATTTCTAAGATAAGTGGAAATGGGGAGGAAACCCCCTGTTTATCCTATTAATAAAACTGTATACAGTCTACCTGAACTTCATTAAAGATTGCAAGGCATGGGTTACTTAGGTTTTAAATTATTTTCCAGTGTTTTACATAACACACACTATTTCCTGTGGAAGTATTTCCTGTGCAAATACCACTGCCAGGTGCTGACTGCCAGGATACAAAGACAAGTAGGAGCAGCCCCCTCTCGATCATACCATGGGCTGGTAGGGCCATGGGTGACACAGAATACAAGGTGAAGGGAGCAATTGCAGAGTAGAAACAGAGTCCTTCTGAGGCAGGAGAATCGGGTCTGGAGGCAGGAGACATAGGGCCGATTCATGCTGACTTCCTAGAACTAAATCTAGCGGAAGCACTTCAGCTATGACAGGAAATATCCTCTCCATTTACTTAGGGCATACACCGAATAAATGACCTTGTAACTTTACTTCATCTTCTTCATTGACATAGGGCATACACCAAGTAACCAATGGAAACGTCTAGAGGGTATTTAAACCCCAGTAAATTCTGTAACGAGGCTTTTGGGCACCTATGCTCAGGCCTGTTCTCACCCTGTGGAGTGTAATTTCATTTTCAATAAATCTCTGCTTTCGTTGCTTTGTTCTTTCCTTACTTTGTTTGTTCATTTCCTCTAATTCTTTGTTTGAAACACCAAGAACCTGGACACCCTCCAGCTGTAACTCTTCTGGGGGCATGCATGTGCCGCAGGTGGGGAAGGCTTTGCAGAGGGAGCCGACAACGACCGGGCTTTAGTGGATGGAGTGGGAGCCGGCGGGCCCAGGAGCAGGTGGAAGGGGAAGGGAAATCCAGGCAGATAATGTCAAGGTCAAGGTCTGAAAGGTCTGCAGTCTGGGGAGCTGAGCTGGTGGAAGACAGAGAAAGGCTCTAAACAGAACCTGGGTTTTCTGTGTCTGGACAACAGGGAGTCAAGAGTCGAATTAGATACTGAACTTTGCGGATAGGGAAGGTGCTGCCTGACCTCTCCCGTCTTCAGGGAACACGCTTCACAGTTTGTTTCTGTGGGGGTTCCTCCACTCCTGATCTGGGGATGAACACGTGACCCAAGCCCTGATCTGGGGACGAACACGTGACCTAAGCTAAGATCATGAATCTTCCCTACAGCATGTTGAGCTGGGACATCTGCGGATGAGGGCTTTCTTCTTTGTTCTCAAGGCTCTAAGGATGTGGCCACAGAGCTCCCTCCACCCTGGTCCCTTACTTGAGGAGAATGCTGGTCAGAGAGAACAAAGCTATCACCCTCAGGCAGGGACAAAAGGCAGGGAGAGGGAGATGGGCCCTTTGCCCCAGGGCCTGCTCTGCCTCTCCTCTTCCTCGTAAGTTCCTCTCTTCTGCTTCCACTGCTTGGTGCTGGCATTTGCAACCAGAGTCCTGCTCAGTACGACAGGGAAGGAAAAGAAGTGGGAATGATGCAAACGTCAGAGATGAGAAGCACTTTCCTTACACGGTCAGAGTTCCGCAGACTCCTCCCAGCCAAGTTCAGAACTGAGAGTCAACTCCTTGTTTTACATGGATTGTAACATATTGAGGATATGCCTGGCTTAAATCAGTTAGACCCTGATGGCAGGTCTCTGCTGCAGTCTACTTAACAGCAAGTGTTTGAGAGGGTGTGCGGCAAACATAAAACACAGACGGGCCCTCGCACTCACTGGCATAGGCATGTGGGTCTCCCGAGGGCTGCCCTTGCTCTTCTCAGCAGTGCACCTGTCGTGCCAGAGAAGGCTTCCTTCCTTGGCAGCACTGGGCTCTCAGACCCCCATCTTCTAAGCTCACCTCCTCTGAGCTGCCGGAGGGGCTGCCTGAGCAGGCTCATTCACAGCACACCCCAGCCCAATCATACAGCCAGGAGCAAAGGAGGGAAAGTTGGCAGGGAGAGCAGGCAAGGCAGTGGGAGGGAGACAAGGCCCTGAAGAGAGGAGTCTGAAGAAGGGGTGGTCCTTGTCCCCAGGTGGAGGCTGGCAGCCTCGACAGTCAAGCTGCAGCCCGTGAGCCCAGAAGAAGGCAAAGGCAAGGTGAATGAATCATTCACAGTACAGTTCCACAGTTCCAAAGGGAAGCAGAGAGGTGGGACGTGAAATCCAGAGACGGGGACTTGAGTGGAATAACTGGAAGGCTGCGCTGAGAGGGGACATAGGCAAAGCTGCAGAAGAGCAGGCAGAAAGATGCAGAGACCACAGAAGGATACCCACAACACGGGACAATGTGTACAGCACAGGGAAATGCATAGAGCACAGGAGGATGCAGGATGCACAGAGCATGGGAGGATGCATGGAGCATGGGGGATGCACTGAGCATGGGGGATGCACAGAGCATGGGGGATGTACTGGGCATGGGGGATGCACAGAGCACGGGGGGATACACAGAGCATGTGGGATGCACAGAGCACGGGGGGATGCACAGAGCATGTGGGATGCACAGAGCACGGGGGGATGCACAGAGCACGGGGGACACACAGAGCACAGAAGATGCACAGAGCACGGGGGATGCACAGAGCAC